TCTTTTATTACATCCTTTCATTAATCCAATAAATTCTTCACAATATTTTTTCATTTTATGAAGTCTTCTTTTTTGGTGATGACCTTTTCTTGCTTCAGTTTCATCAACAGGTTGAAGTTCGTTAGAATATGCCCAACACCTTTCTACTTTTAATAAAGGAATCATTAAACATTCTGAAGTTTTCATATGTTCAGCAATCAACTTTAATTGTTTAAATTGTTTCTTTTCCCATTTGTTGATCAATTGGACTTTTTGTCTTATTCTCTTAATTCTACGTGAACAAAATCTTCTATATCTTGTATAATCATCATGTTTTAATCCATTAACTTGTCTCCAATTGAATATTGTTTCGAAAAGACAAAGATTTAATCCTTTATCAAGTTTAGTTGTGAGTTTTTTGTATTTAATTTCACTCATTCACTATGTTTTCCATTATTCCAGTTCGATTTGGTGATTTATTTTTTATTATTCTTTTATTATTTTTTACTAATTATTAAATAATTATGTACAATTTGTGAAAACTATTAAGAAATAATTTAAGTCATATATAACATTATTTAATAATTGAATTAACTGATAGTTATAACTTATTAAAAATCACCAAAAAGAGATTATAAGATTGAGAACTTGAAATAATTATAAAACTAACTGAAGTATACTATGATTCTATTAATTATAGCACTTCTACAAATAAGTTATGCGTTTAATAATCAATGTTCATCTGCTACTTTAGTTGATTTAACAACTATGAATGAATTTTCTGTTACAGAAGACACTACTCAGTCTACTCTTTCGTCCTATCGAGTTGGAAGAAGGGTGATTAAACAGAAGGGAAAATGGTATCGAATTCACACCAATGGGTTAGGTAATAATATTGAAATTGATACTTGTTTATCTGGAACAACAAACTTTGATTCAAAAATCATGGTCTTTGGAGGTTGTTCAAGAGGTATTGGAACACAATTACTGTCAATGAATGATGATAGTTTTACTGGTTGTGGTTCAGCTGCTAGGTTGATATTTAATGACCAGAGAAAAACAACTTTCTTTGTTTTTATTACTGGGTCTGATGTAAATGATGTTGGAATTTTTGGGATTAG